CCGTAGTGTGTTTCCAGTATACGAAACACAAGTGGGTAGACAATATCATACATTTTATCTCCTTCGATAGGATTCAGAACGAGGCTATTGAAGTACRTAGTGGGCCTGGACATGAGCACCCGAACGTGGTCGATGGCATGATGATGAATGTAAGTCTCTGTTGCGAGTCTTATGACTCGTTCGTCTTCCACGACGACAACAAAATGCCGATCCTCCATTTTGTGCCTGTCTTTGTACTCCAACACCTGTTCGACAGGCTCTGTAACCGAGTTTTGCGACTCGTAATAATATACGTTCTCGCCCGTACGGAGTTTCGTGGAATGGTAGCATTGAAAAATCATTGGCACCAACCGCATAGTCGTTGCTTGCGAATGGGGAGTCGAGGAAGCTGCCGAACACACAAAGCTTCACCGTAAGCAACAGTGCAACGGATTTGCATAATACAAAGGTGAGGAACATAAGGTGTGTCTTGTTCTTCGATCAACACATCTCCTTCTTATTTTTCTTAATCTTTTTCTTCTTCTTTTTTGTATTCTTCATCTTCTTCTTCTACTTCTTCTTGTTCTTGTTCTTATTTTTCTTCTTCTTTTTCTTCTTCTTCTCGCGTCTCGTGATTGTGTGTGTGTGTGTGTGTGTGTATGTGTGTGTGTGTGTGTGCGTGTGCATGTGTGTGTGTGTGTGTGTGTGTGTGTGGGTCGACAAAAAACGAGGTGTGAATGTCGCTTCCGTTTTCGCTGAATAGTCTATATATAATTGTTGCACACACACACACACACACACACACACACACACTCAACTGGCAGACGACATACGATAATAACAACAATATAAATCACAGATCTGTATGTCACATCATATGCATGTTACAGAGAGAGAGAGAGAGAGAGAGAGAGAGAGAGAGAGAGAGAGAGAGAGAGAGAGATGTGTGTGTGACAGAGAGGTCGATAACATAATGCTAGAGATGATTCACGAAGAACAGTAATGTTGTTCTCCACATATAAAGTCCCGTGTGTGTGACAGAGAGAGGTCGATAACATAATGCTAGAGATGATTCACGAAGAACAGTAATGTTGTTCACCACATGTAAAGTCTCGTGTTGTGCTCTCTCTCTCTCTCTCTCTCTCTCTCTCTCTCTCTCTCTCCTCAACTTGAAGTCTCAAGTTTCTGACTCCAGAGAAGGCGG